CTCCACCTTCTGCACTCTAGTATAATTTTACAGTAATTCCACAAGATGCAAGTCTCCATTTATTGCCTCTTCCAATGCAAAGATCTAGTCATACTTAAAATGTTTAGGATGTTTTAAAAACTAATAATGCTGTATAAATTCTGTTCATTTTTGTACTTTGCTTTAAAGAAAAAGTATGGTTGAGTCCAATATCTGTTGGATTTACAACACTGATGTTTTAGGGAGGGCTGTCTATGCTCAAATAATATTTTTCTGTTGGTCATAATGAGATTCGGACTCGAGTAACAGACATAGAAACATGAGGAAACCTCGCATCAACACAGCCCTACTTCACCAGGGTCTAAACCCAAATTTCCACACAAGGAAACAGGTATTGCTGAAGCTTCAGCACCAAACGAAGTTGTGTGTCCAAACCAACATGTTCTAGTGGCTAGATGCTCCAGTGGGGTGTACTGTTAGCTTCTGCATCGCTACTTCACGTGGCTTTGTGAGAACAAAGACAGTTCAGTCTGTGCCTGTAAGATAGCAATATGTTGTAAACCTAAGGTCAATAACTTAAGTTACAGTAAAATATGGCAATCTTCTCAGGGAACAGACAGTGCATGTAACTAAATCTCAGATAAAGCCTAAAACTACAAACGTTATTAGTACATCAGAGGTCAACTTTCATCAGGTTGTTTTCATATGCTTAGGAAGACGGCAGCACGCTTCTATTTTTGGATAAGCAGAAATATCAGCTTGAAGCAACTGGGATATGTAATAAATTATAGCTATGAAAATAAGCTGTACATACTACTGCAGGAGAAAAACTTTGACAAAACCTATTTTTAAACAATGAAATAAGAATTATAGAATTATAAAAGAGAAACATTTTATAAATGTGTTCTTGCATGCTATATATTTTTTTTTAATGTCTACACTGGAAACTGCCTAAAATGCTTTGCAAGGGCTAGAATCATAGTGTCTTCAAGTATTCAAAGAATGGCACATTGAAAGTTCAAAAGGATCTCAAAAGTCACCATGAAGTTTCTAATTTGGGTCAATTAAAGGAACTGAAACCAGCAAAAAAAGATAATGCACTTTTCCCCTTCAACTAAATCACAGTGAAAAAACCCTGCATTCGCACAATGGATTTATGAAACTTCACCCTCGTAATTATGTCTCAGAATAAACATGTCTGACATCTTCCCATCTAAGTAAACGTTTTACTCAAATAAAACAGTCCTGCTGGTGATCTGTTATGCAAATTACACAAAACTACAAGTGTGATTAGAACCAAAGAACAAGTTTACAAAAAGAAGCACATAATGAAAAAGTGGTTTTGTCTATGTGGCAGTCATGTCACATCTTGCACTCTGCTCGGTTCCCTTCTTTTAAAACTGAAACCACAGGCGATACTACCAACACGCGTTTCCTTTTTAGTAGAGGAAAGGAGAATTTTGGGCGCAGACTTGAGGAATGACAGTATGAATGTCACCCTGGACAGGGAAATCTTTGCAGAAGATGTTTCAAGCTCAGGACACACCTGGTTTCCTCCAGCAGTGTATGTACAGCTGGTTACTTGAATGAGAATTGCTCTGCATCCACCTAGTTTCAGACCTGTATTGTTTAGCAGACCAGAGTTATAGACCACTTTGCTAGGATTCAATCTTACAAACACCTCTTAAGGTTGAGTCAATGCTCTACACTAGTACCAGAAACCAACTGGGAGGCAGTGTTACTCATCCCAGCCCAAAGCCCGTGGAGCATTAGCAAATTGCCAATGAAGTTGCTTTGCTTTGTTCGTTCTTTCTTATTATCCTCAGTTGATTACAGCTCTTTTTTTGGCCTCTATTTCCATTGCCATTTATTTTCCTTCTTTCACATTTCCATAACATTATTTTTCGTGCTTGATTCAACCCTGATGAATCATGATTCAGTTTGTCACTGTTTGCTATGTGACTATGAATTTACCATCCTATTTGTATTTTCATAATTGGATCTAGGCTGAACCATACCTGGATCTGGCTAAGCCAGCATTACCTAGGCCCAAGTACACATACCATTGTGTCTTTTATAAAGCATTTCCTTTCAATGTCACTTTGTCACATGGTAACCATATGTTTATCTGCAACTTAATTAAAGCAGCTGAGGAATAAATTAAATACATACTAGAAGTTCATTTTTAAAATGTGAGGAAAAATACAATTACATGAAAATGAAACCTCAGAAAGAACAGGAAGGGGTACATAATAAACACTTAGTGAATACAGACGCTTTTTTTCTTTACTTTTTTTTTGCTGGGGAGAGAGAGCAAAGAGACAAGTCTTCTCTCCATTATTTCTCTTTAAAATTGTCAAGGCAAAAGATTTCCACTAGTTTATGAAAAACTGTACTCCTGAGCAATGATATGTGCTCACTTACAAAGTTTCTGGAAGCAAAAGCATCAAGGGTCTTCATTCCATGTTTGTTTCTGTAGTAAATAGGTATATCAGAAATTAGAATACACTTCTCCAGAACAGCTAAAAGGACTTGCAGGTCTGCTGGCTCTGCCTTCAGAGACTTCACATTTCCCCACTGGACACCTTGCACTACCCCTATGTTCCAAAAAGATCTTCACCTATTAATGCTGCTCTCTTGGACACAGACATAGGCAAGAGGCTGGAAAGGAATCCATAAACCAAAGAACACTTCTGCTGCTACCAGATCAGCTTCAGTGCAATCCTGTCAGATGTGTCCTCTGGAACTGACCGCCTCGATGTTGCATGGCTCACAAAAGTGTGTCATCCTCCTGCAAACAAGTCTACCGGACCAATTGATCAGTGTGAGAATACACACAGAATGAGTTTGCTATCTGCTAGTCAGGGACAGCATATTCCTTATTCTTTACTAATGTATCAGAAATTACCGATTATCCACTTAAATTGAAGAATCATATCCTCTGAATTAGCTCTGGTGTTCTCTTCACCTTATTAAGTTTAAATAACTCAATTTTTCTAGAGCTTACTTGTTATTTATCATGCCGTCTTGATACCAAGATGGCTGCAGAGCCATCGTCCTCTGCCTACTTAATCTGTACGGTTCCAAGCCCAAGCCATACAAATGGATCAGGTTTTTTGTAGGACATCATTAACACTGAACCTGGGCATTTTTTTTTTGGTGGAAACTCACAGTAAACTAGTAGAGCTCAGTAGTTCCGTTCTTCCTCCACAAGTTTACTGACATGCCAGTTTTCATTATTTTGTAATTTGACACCCCTACCCTACCTCTGCAGTTAAGTATAATTAAACACTTCTTGATGATAAGCTTAATACAAGGCACTGTGTGCAAATGAGTGGGTATGGCTCTAATTTAGCAAAAGAGATACTAAGCAGTCAAGGGCAGTACAGAGACCAAAAAGTTACGAAAGAAAAAAAGATGCCGTACTACAAACAGCATGCAGAATCAACAATTTTGGAAGAAATAACTGTGAGGTAATTTTTCAATAATTTCAAGGAAATAGACTGGAGGAAAGGCATTTTTTAGGAGAGAAATTAAGCTAAGTTTGTGTTTTCTTCCATTAGAACAGAGGCAAGTTACTTTATAGATCTTTAAATATTTTTCTGTGTAGAAGATACTGCACCCTAAGCTTTTTTGATGGCTTAGTAAAAGGGTCCAGGACTGCAGAAAGCAACTTGGATTTGAAATACCAGACAAAAGTTGATTAAGTGTGACCCAGCTTGCTTTTGTATAGTTTACATTATCAAGATTGTCCAGACAGCAGATTTTAAAGATCATATAAATAAAAGCATTTGAATTCAGTTAATGACTTGGCTCTGAAGCCAAGTTGTTTTTTCTTCCAAATACCCTCATTCATTTAAAAGAAAGAAATTCATAGGACACAACGAAGAACATTTAGTTCATCTAAATAAGCTCAATGTTAGGCATTCACTTTTTTAAAAGCATGATTAGAAAAAGTTTTTGAACAAGTTATTCAACTTATGTTCATCATTTACTGTTGTGGTTATTTCATCTTGACTGGGGATCCGGTCGAAATCAAAAGCGCACAGTTAAGGACAAGAGTCAGCCAGCTACTGTTAATCAATAAAGTCCAATAATTTCTACAGTTAGAAGAACAGCTGCCCATTGGCACAGTAACCAGAGTTCTCTGAGATATGTTACCCCTATAAAGAGAATGTACCTGCCTCAGAGAAGAGAATTTTCCCCCTGGCTTCATTAGCCAGCGAGTCAGTTCACGTAACCAGCCAGTAATTGCCATAAATACAAGAGATTCAAAATGTATATTACTGATTGCTGCGTGGCCATCAACACTTACATCCCTCCCCCAAGCTTTTTTTTTGGAGTTCTCTGAGATATGTTACCCCTATAAAGAGAATGTACCTGCCTCAGAGAAGAGAATTTTCCCCCTGGCTTCATTAGCCAGCGAGTCATTTCACGTACCCAGCCAGTAATTGCCATAAATACAAGAGATTCAAAATGTATATTACTGATTGCTGCGTGGCCATCAACACTTACATCCCTCCCCCAAGTTTTTTTTTTTTTACTCAAAGCAGGGAGGATGGCACACAGTAGGGGACAGAATAAAATAATCTAAAAAATGTCAGTTGTTATTACTTATTAATACTGACTGCCAACTAATAGATCAAGTATAGGAAAGGTATTTGGAATCTTGTTTGAATAAAGCCTAGAGAACTGCCTTTCTGAAACAGTCAGAAGAGTTATTCACATCTATGTGGCTGTCTTGCTTTCGGCTGGGACAGACTTAGTTCTTTTCAGCAGCTAGAAGAGCTCCGCGTTTTGGTTTCAGCCTGGGATCCATTACGAGAATGTTGATAGTGCACTGATGTTTATAGTGGGTGCTGCGGCAGAGAGGACCTGATAGACACGGCTACGCAGACACCAAGGCCAGTGAAGATGGAGCGGGAGGAGGTGTGCCGGAGCTGGGATTCCCCTGCAACCATGGTGAGACGGCCGGCGGCCCCCCTGCCGCCCTGGAGATGAACAGTGGCACAGAGACCCACCCACAGCCCATGGAGAACCCCAGCAACCAGCAACGCCATTTCCGTTTATCAAACACATTCTCAGGATAAACGAGAGTGACACGGGAAATACTCTTGAGAAGACCCAAGCATCTACAAGAAGAGTTTTATAGCACACTACAACATTTAACAATTTATAACTATTGTATGTGGAAAGGTGTAAAGTTCTCAATCCACTGATAAATAACAAGCTCATAAAAACGGTCAACTATGCTCAAACTTTGATCTGCTGAATTACTTCAATAAGAAAGCAGTAAAAACCCAAATAACAAAACAGAAGGAAAAATAAGGAACATCATTACACTGAAAAAAGGTAACACTATTCACTCTGCAACTTTGTAGTAGTATACCTTAGGCTAAATCTCTCTGAACGAGGATGATTTTGACTCAAATATTTGTGTACTGCCAAGTACAAAAGAATTTAGGGCAGTGATGAGAATTCTTTAGTGTATCCACTAGGAGAAATCACATGCAGCTGCCAGGCAGAAACATATTCTTATGCTCCACCTTATTTGGTTTTTAAATGCCAAAGTTGCAGTCACCAAGAATGTACTGTGATGAGTGTGAGTAAATATTTGTTTTATTGCTAGGTACTGCTACAACACAAAGAAGTAATAGTAATCCTAATACTGGCTGCCAGCGCAATTCATTCACTTTCAATGCAACCCCGAGGCATTTCATTTTTATTTGAATTTAGATGGCTGGCATGACAGAAACATTTCCAACAACTGGTGGTAACAATAAATTTTGTTCTTGCAGAAGTCCAGTTGAAAGAAAATTAGCTAATATTACAGCTTAATTTTATCTTTTTTCCTCCTTCTTTAGTTTTTCAAACAATCAGTTTAATTCTCTGGAGTTTTTAAAGCTCCAAGGAAGTAAAGTAACGCAGACATTCATGCGTATAAACCGAGCGTGTGTTTGAAGCTTCCCTCTTTGCAGTTCTGTTGTGACCAGAAGATCAGTCCTAACTCAACAGCATAAAGCTGTAGAATAAGGCACGTTTGCAGTGCGGGTACTGGAGCACCAGCCTGTGTCAGAACGTCCTTTTACACTGCTGGATTTGAGGAAGCACGAGAAGCCTCCAAGCCCTCTAGTCCCTGTCTGCACTCGTCCCAAATTCCTCTGCAATCTCTCCCTGTGGCTACTGACTGTTTTCCACACAGAGCAGTGGCAAAACGCCACCGTTTGGCCCGAGCTACTGGCGACTCCAGACGCATCATGGATCTAGACCACGGAATGACTTCAGGACTGCTGGAATTCAGCGTGCTTTGCAAAAGGACTAAGTTAGCAATGTGCGGCATATAGCAACGCATTGCTTTGGTGTGAAATGGCATGTTCAGCAATTCCACAATCATTTGGGTCATTAATAAAGCCACTTTAGGAAGATACAACTGATGTCAGGGGTATCTCTCTTTTTTCTAGAGTTAATGTTAGCAGCAGAGCAAAAGGGGCATGCCCTTCAGGCTTTGACCTGATGGCCTACACAGAAGAACTGCTAATTGCATAAGCATATCACTAATTATTAATTCTGTTAATAAATGATGTAGACTAACTGGGTACTCAACACGTCAAGCTTCCACATAAAGTAAGCACAATATTTAAAAAGATTCTATTTTATCATACTATTTCAATATAAGCAATGGTGCAGACATTTCCAGCATTCTAATTCAAGCAGCAATTAATGAATCTATAATTAATTGAGGTGTATTAAACTCAAACACAGGCTACATTCCAAACCCAAGCAAAGTCTCATAGCAGAACTGTAAGGTATACACAGATAATCCAGTTGTTAGGTAAGAACAATTTGAGAAGAAAAGCAAGCATAAGATTATTTAAAAAGTAGTTCTGGATTACTTCAATATTCATTTTTTCCCTTGTAGAAAGACCTCTGGATGACTCTTCCAAAACACACTATAAACTAACATTTAAGGCCTCCAGCATATTCTTCATCTTTGGCTTTTTCTATTTTTTCCCCTCTCTGTTTTGGAATCAGCTCTTGTATTAGCACTTACTTGCAGCTGCCCCTGCCAGTGCAGAAGTAGCGCTGTCTAGACTATGTCCATATTCATTCCTCTTAAAAACAATTCAAATGATAGTTCCACAGCTCTTATAACTCCAGAGTCACATTTCTCATATCTAACGTATGCTGTTGCCCTGTGAATTCAGAATTTCTATCAAGTCAATCCTTATTAACTCATAGGATCTTTCCTGCTCATTTCTATGAGACGACGATGTCGTGACATTCAATTACGAAAGCACTTGCTGTAAACGTACCTCACAAAATCTCCCAGCTCTCTGAAACGAAACCAGCAAATGCTTCTGACTAAATCAGTTTATTCCGCCTTGTACAACACACATTGTGAATACAAGTAAAGGCCATGAAATATAGAAAAAGTAGCAAATGAAAAATTAGATATCAATGCTTTCTCTAAAACATAGTCTAAAAATCACACACAAATAGTCCTTCTGTCTTCTGAACTGCTTCAACAACCATGGTGTAGTATGTAGTGGAAAAAAAAAGCCTTTTCCAATGAGTCAGTGACAGTTAAAATACTGTATCTTTTCATATATTTTCACCGCTACTGTTAGTCATGCTAACTGTCTTCAAGCTACTGGTAAAAATTCAGTACTGGATGCAATTACACCTTCATTTTGTTACATAAATACACTTTGGTGACAACAGTTGCCATTTCTCCCCATTTGTCTGCAGAACAAAGCTAATCCCACCCTTATGCTAATACTTTGTAGAGTTGGACTGCTGGGAACACGCTTACGGTGCATTATCATCTGGAACGTGCTGGGGCATTACAGCAGATGGATGCATGAAATCAGCGTTAAAAGCACCCGTTCTTTGACACAGGTGAATACGTACTCCATTTATGAGTTGTTTTTCATCCCATAAGAACAAAGTGTAGATGCTAATGACCATCATTTCATTTTACAGCCCGGACGACAGACAGACAGAAAACCCATTATATTATTTAATTCGATTTCATGAGAAAAACAGGTTTTGTCTTGGCAGAGTTGCTGCTCTAACCACTACACAGAGGTAGCTCTGCTCAGTCTTCCCCTCACTGTAAGATGAATAAAAAAATAAACCTTTTCAAGATTTTAGATGGCTTAGAATTATTTTAAAAATATTAAATACTAATCTTAGGTTAACTGTGCTTTGTAGGACACAGTGGCTGAAGAAATTTATGCTTTACAGTGTAACTGAAAAAAAAGAACATCAAAATCAAACTGCCTGCAAGTCCAACAACTCCCAAACTCTCTGAAGGTACGGTTAAAAAAACTTATCATTTTGAATTATGAGACTATTCAAAGAGCTGCTAAGCTGATGACTCTTGTATTAAAATATGGTTTGCTTTAATCAAAGCTTTTTAATACTTGTTAATTAAAAAATAACTTATGCTCCATTGGAAGTACCTGGCTTGTTTTATGGCACAGCTTTGAGTTAGCTTTAGTGAACTCAATCTTTTAAGAATTCCCTCATTAAAGGAAAAAGGGCAATTAAAGCATTTCAGACACTTAAGCAGTTAAAACAGCACAAGTTACCTTGCAACCTATGTGCTTGTAAAACATGAATAAAGTGGTATAGAAGTATCAAAATCTTTTAAAGTAGAAAATGAGCATCTTAAAAAGAGGAAATACACAATTTAATCACACTCAGAGCTGCTGCAAACATTTTTGAGTGTACTCCAATCTGCCACTGAAATAATAAACAAACGTTACTATAAACAAACATTATGCATACATACATTACATCCCCAAATATGGTCCATGTAATCTCAAATCTTTATTACTCCACTTTCTACATCCTAGTATTTCCTTACTTGACAGGTAAGAAACTACAGCATTACTGCACACACCTTTCGTTGTGACTTCTGCAGGAGTATGACATGTATCAATGCATCACCTTACAGACTCCGTTCTGATCATCCATCCTTTCCATCCATTTTAGTTGTATTCGTTTCAGTTGGGCTTACGGATGCTGAGCCACAAGATTAGGCAGCTACTCTCTTGATATGACTCTGTGCTAAAATTTTTAGATTAAAATCAGCTGACAAAAGACTGCCTCAGTATCTGGCTTTTTTTTTTTTTTCAACATGTTTGCCTATATAGCAATAAGTGTGATGAACAGATAGATATGAATTAGACTTTGCGGAGCTAATTCAATAGCGATGCCACAACAGCACACCCTTCTTTGTGGCCTGCATACTTGAGCAGCTCAGCCAGGCTGAAACTGCCTGTGCTGTCACTACTGGTATATGATCTAACCGGTACAACTAATGTGGGCACATCAACACACTGCAGTGGCAGCTCTGCAAGTTTTGCAAAGCCACGACTCTAAGCTCAACCTGATATCATTGCAGTGAAGCTCATACAATAGAGGTATTTTCATAAGAAACTATAAAATCATTTTTTCATTCATTCCAACATCCCAAAGTACTGCTGAAAGGTAAAAATGCCACACACTCTCTACATCTATATCTACACATTATTTTTACTAGAAAACCCAAAGTGCCCAAACCCAATCTGAAAATAAACTTGCCAGTTTAAAACATATGTAAACAAAGAGGTGCCAGAAAGATCTCTAATTTCACTGAAAAAAATTCACATACAATTTCTGACCATTACTCTGAACTGATCTCTTAAGATTATTGTACATATTTTGACACTCCACTCTTTCAGCTAAAACAAAAGGCTCTTCACATACAGAATATCCATTAACTGGTTCCTTCCACACTCATTAGTTTTACTCTACAGTAATTGCATTAACATAAACAAAATTACTTATAATTTAAAGTGACTGATAATGGAGGTGATGGAGTAAAATTGCACTTCGTCCCAGTAAATAAGGTAAATAATGTACCTTTGTTCCACGTGGTACATCATAGTCAGGCAATTGGTATTCTTTGAGACAAATTATTTGCAAAAACTCTCTTACTCCTATATTCATGACATATCGATACCTGTACCATATTAAAATTACAAGTAATAAAATAACAAGGCGGGATAAC